TGCCTAAGGCACTTGACTGCTAACCAGAAGGCTGGCAGTTCAAACCCACCAGCCACTCCTCGGAAGGAAGATGCCTACTACTACTAGTACTACTACTACTACTTCTGTAGCAATACTGCCTCGGGAACTCAAGGAGGGATTGCTATGAGTCGGATCCGACTCGAGGGCACATAACAACAACATGTAGTGTCCTATTGATTGGATGGATGAGGCCTGATTTACCCATCCTCTCTGGGACAAGCAGCTGGCAGGTTGGTCCTGGTGTATGTCCATGATAATCAGGTCCTTAGGACATCTTCCCACCAGTGGCCCTGGTTCCATTCTTCACCATTTGTGAATACACTCATGATTTCTCTTCTGGTTGGTCTGTTTCCATTCATCTAGTCTCCCTGCCCCAATGGTCTCATCTTTGAAAGTCATTGTTGACCGTTTGGTTTCTGACAGGTGATTGTTTATAGGAGCACAGTACTTACAGGTCATATTCATTATTTTTTGAGCTAGTGGTTAGTTTCAGTTCAAGGTTTGAAGAATAGCAAGACATATACTTTTATTGGCACTTCCTATTCCTGGGGAGGGTCTGCCCACTTCCCAGCAGCTGAATGGGAGGGGGACATGGTGACATTCAGAGTCACAGTGTCAGCATCCCTGAGCTACAGAAAAAAAAAGGAGCTGTTGAGTTGATTCCAACTCATAGCAACCCCACAGGACAGGGGAGAAATTGTCCCATAGGGTTTCCAAGGCTGCCACCTCTTTCTCCTTGGAGCGGCTGGTGGGTTCGAATCTCTGACCTTTCTGTTAGCAGCCAAGTGCTTAACCCTTGTGCTACCATGGCTCCTTGTGGCCAGAGCTTGGTGGGACAGTTGGATCCAAACCCCTTACTGACCCTGAGGTCCTGAGGCCAGGGGATGGCCATCCTCACATAGTGAAAGAGGAGACAGGCAGACCCTAAACACAGGCTGCTGGGCCCCAAGTTCCTGCAGAAAGTGTAAAGCGGGCAGCCCCAGGGGCCTGAAGCCATGCACCCCACAGACCTGCCTGTAACAGGAGGACCTGCCACCCATCCTGGCAACATGTTTTTACTCTGCCTCCTGTCCTCAAACCACGGGGTCTTGGGGGTCAGGCTGTGCTAAGCCCAGGGGACGGGCAGCCTCACACATGGGACTGGCCTTTCCTCCTCTTTCTTCCTGTCCCAGGGACGACGAGGGCCTGGGCCCCACGACACCCATGGAACTGGAGGGCAAGCCACTGCCTGAGCCACTTGTACAAGCTCCCAGCCTGGAGCCCCTGGCTCCCCCAGAAGAAAGAGTAAGCAGGAGCGGGTCCGACAGGCCCAGACAAGGAGAAAAGGCAGGGGCTGCTCGGGTGCTGTGTGTCCCATGAGAGTGCTGAGCCCCTAGGAGCTTGCCCCATAGAAGGAGACAGAAAAAAGTAGAGATAAGATCACTTCAGGCAGAGACTGTCCCTCTGCCAAAATTCAGACAGGGCGAGATGACACCATTCATCGAGGGGAAGGCTCCGAGGATGCTGTCTTTGAGTGGAGTCCTGGAGGAAGAGTCAACGGGGGTGGGGGTGGGCGGCGTGCAATTGCCAAGTGGTCCTGGGGAGCCACTGGGTGGGCTCGAACCACCAACCCTTTTCTGTTGGCAGCCAAACACGAACCACTGTGCTACCAGGGCTCCTGAGAGGAGGCTGGGAAGGCTGAACTGTTAGATGAGATGTGCGGGGAGGCGGGACAGGCCTGCAGCAAACAGACCAAGCAGGTCTCCAAGGACACTGCAGAGCTGCAGTTTCTGAGCAGAGCCAGGAACCAGCCTGAGGCTGCTCCGATGGGAGGGAACCAGATTAAAGGCTGGAGACCAGGGAGGGGGGCCTGGACCGCTGCTGGAGCTTTGGGGATTCCAGAGAAATCCGGGAGTAGAGAGTGGAGGAAGAGCCAGGACCCGGGGCCCGGCATCCAGGCCCAAGTCGCGAGTGCCCCGGGAACCACACGCCGCCTTGAGCCCCGACCCCCCTCGCAGGCGGAAGCGGCAGTCCCAGAGGCGGTGTTCCAGGCGGCAGCGGCGGCTGAGGTCACGCTGCGGGAGCTCCAAGAGGCTCTGGAGGACGAGGTGCTCTCCCGGCAGAGCCTGAGCCAAGAGCTGGAGGCCATCCGCATGGCCAACCAGAACTTCGCCAGGTCAGGGCCGGGGCCGGTGCGGGGACCCGGGGCAACCCTCTGCCGCCCCTATCGCTGCCACCCCGACGGGCTCACGGTCCTTACCTCCCTGCAGTCAACTACGCGAGGCCGAGGCCCGGAACCGAGACCTGGAGGCGCGCGTCCGGCAGCTGCAGGAGCGGATGGAGGAGCTGCAGGCCGAGGGAGCCGGAGGCGAGTCCCCCAACCGCCTTCTTCCCCGAGGGCGCCGGAGGCGGTGGGCCCGCGGCCAGACGGGGGCGTGTGTGGACAGCTGGGGGAGGCGAGCGATCCAGGCTGGGGCACGCCGCGCCACCGCCTTCCCCCGCGCCCTTCCACGCGCCCTACGCCTTTCTCTTCTCCTTCCAGCTGTCACGGGGGTCCCCAGTCCCCGGGCCACGGATCCACCTTCCCATGTAAGACCTTTCTCTTTGCCCTGCCTCCAGCCTGCTGCCCCCTTCTGCGGACCCCCAGGGCTCACCCTACCTCACCTTCCGTTCAGCCCCTCATCTACCAACTCTCCTTCGGTTCCGGCCTCTTCCCACATCACCTCCGGGATCTCCATAGATTCCCTCCCCAACCTCGACGCCCCTCGCTGGCTCTCGCTCCTTGCTCTGGGCGGCTGGGCTGGGCTCCGATCGGGTCACCTGTCCCTTCTCTCTCCAGCTAGATGGCCTCCCGGCCGTGGCTCTGTGCCAATGCCCGCTGGTGGGGCCAGGCCCCATGCACCGCCGCCACCTGCTGCTCCCTGCCAGGGTACGTCCGGCTGCCCACTCTCGCCCGCGGCCTCGCCCCCGCCCCTTGCATCTCGCGCAGCCTTTGCTAAATTGCGCCTCTGCCCGGCTCCGCCCACCACGGGGAGGGGAAAACAGCTCAGATAGCCAATCAACACAGACTGCTAGGAAGCAGCCAATAACGAGTTCGAACGGGATTTGCGGTTTGTGAGCAGACCAACCACAGCTGTGCTCACTGTAGGGGACAGAGGGAGGGAGAGCCGGAGTGCGGATTCATCTGTGGGCTGGGCGCTGCTGATCCCGCCCTGTTGTCCGCAGGTCCATAGGCCTGGTCTATCGGAGGCGCATTCCCTGTTCGTGTTCGCCGCTGCTCTGGCTCGTGCCGCCACCTTGGGCGGCACTGGGTTGGTGGTCCGCACCGGCCATCTCGCACCAGCCAGGCGCTGCTCTGAAGCCGCCTTCGCCCCCTGAACCCTAGAACCCCAGCGTGTGCTCACTCGGGCCCCGCGTGAGGGTTGGGTGACCGGGGCACGGCCCAGAAGCCGCTCCCACGGCCTCCTGGCGCACAGCACTCCGAGCGCGGGTCTCCGCCCTAGTGCCAACCCGGTGATCCGGACCCGCCCCCTGGCGGCCGGGGAGGGAGGAACCGGGTCCGCGACCGAAGAACGGGGCTCCCGAGAGGTTGTGACTGAGAATATTCCTGCTGCTGTGGGTCGTCACGGACCTCCTCCCTTCTCCTGCTGGGCTGAAGACCGGACGTAGGTGGAAAACTGCGGTGCAGAGAAGGCAGCAGGGCCCGGGCCCGGCCGGCCGTTCTTCACCCTCCACGCACCCCCACCCACCGTCGGCTCCCAAACCACTCTCCTTGTGCACCAGGCCTTGTTCTCCCCGGAAAGTGCTATTCCTGCGGCGACGTCCGGCGCCCGGTGCGAGCTCCGCCTGCTCTCTAATCCCTTTTGTTTTTGCCAGCCCCGCTTTTTCGGGGACTCCTGCGCCTCCTTCTCACGTGCGCTGCTTCCAGAGCCAGGCTGGCTCCGCCCGCTCAGCGGTTTGGTTATTTATTGAGCTTGTCTTCCGAACCGCGGACAGGCTCCAGGATTTCAGCACCCTAATCCACGTTTTGGATGCACTGAGACCCCCCTACATTCCTCGGTATTTATTGTCTCTCCCCACCTAGGACCCCACCCCCGATCCTCGCGAATAAAAATGCTCCCTCGTCTGTCCAAAACTCCACTGCGTCCACTCTGTTTGCGTAGTGGGCGGAAGGCTGCTCAGTGGGCCAATCAGAAAGCGAGCAGGGCCAGCCAATGGCCTGGCGCGGAGCTAGCGGGACGAGAAGTGGGCGAATCATGCCTGGGGGAGGAAAAGAGGAGGGGTGGGGCTTCAGCATCCGACCAATAAGAGAAGGCGAGTGGACCCATTGCCCACTCCCCGTCCAGCTGTGGCCCAGCTGTGTAAGCTCCGGCTTTCGGGAACCCGAGGAAGGGCGCTGGGCCAACAGTGCGCGCGTCCATCCTGTATAACTGCGCCTGCGCGGGCCACGCGCATCCGCTCCAAGATTTACGCTCGCGAAAAGTTGCAAACTTTCTCCTCCGCCCCTCCTCCCATCCAGACCCGCCCTCCCGCGGAGCTGGGAATTCCGAGAGGCGGAGCGCAGGCTGAGATGGGGAGTAGGAGGGCCTCCCGAGGACCCTGGAGACGGAGGAGTGCAGGAGCTTAGGCTTGGGGCAGAGGTGGCTTCGCGCCCTTAGCCCTCCCGGACGGCCCGTTACCCTCTCCGTTGTCCCGATGGGGAAACTGAGGCCCTGAGCCAGAAGCACACGCGGGGGGAGGCAAAAAGCGCGGCCAGAGGCGGAGAGAAAACAAAGAATCACGGACTGACAGGGAGGGGGACGGACACACACAGACTCAGGGGCAGAGAGACCCGAGTGGGAGAGTTGGGCTTGGCGCTGGGCTAGGGGCGCGGGGACCTCCGGGGGAGAAGATCGAGGAGCACGAAGAGGGGCGGAGAGGGGGGCCGGGCGGGGGAGGGGGCCGGGGGAAGCCCGAGGGAGGAGAAGGAGGGAGGGAGGAACTTCCCAAAGTTACAAAACATGGCTACCTTGCCTGCGGAGCCGAGCGCGGGGCCGGCGGCTGGGGGCGGGGAGGTGGCGGCGGCGGCGGCCGAGGAGGAGGAGGAGGAAGCGCGCCAGCTCCTGCAGACTTTGCAGGCGGCCGAGGGTGAGGCGGCGGCGGCGGCCGGGGCGGGCG